CACAATCAAAATTAGCCCCAATGTTAGTAACCCTGACTACTATATATGATTTTAATAGGCCCTAACGCACATCCATAGCTTGATTAGATCATTTAAAAACATGACTTTAACTGGGGTAAATATGCGCAATTATTGGATAAATTTTTGCAGGCAAATTTGCCTGATCAGCTTATGGTTTAAGGGATAATACCTGCTATGGCTGTTAATGGAATAATACAGCGTGAAGCATTCTCTGCGGAGTAAGTATGAAACCACACCAGCCATGCCAGATTGCTAAATTTTATAGTACAGTATATAGTAAATATTTTACTAAATTGCAATGCATATTTTAATATCTAGAACAATTTTATTTTATGCAATAATGTTAATTGACTTAATAAATTTTATTTTTAATATATAACAATTACAATAATCGGAAGTAATGTAATATCTAAACCACACTGGCATGCTTATTCCGGAATGTAATACTTACACATTCTTGTAAAATAGTGATCAGAGTTAAGTGAATAGAGGCATTAAATCATTTGGTGCTGTCATAGATCATTTGGTGCTGTCATAGATCATTTGGTGCTGTCACAGTATTACTATATTGTCGAAAAACATAAATGCACTACAATACCCGATCTCCCTTGAGTTTAATAATAATATTAGAACAGCCGTTAAGACATACAAAGAATTGATAATAAAATAATGCACTTGTTCTCTTTTCTTTCGTCAAAGAGCAAAAATATTTCAAGCGTTTTCGTATAAGCAAATAGACTCTAAATTCATTTTATAATAGCCTTGCACTTATCTATCCATTCTGAAACACTATGAATGATGTCGTTTGTCTGCCGTAACTCACTTTCAAGCCATTCAATGTCTGCTTTTTCATGTTGTGCTGTTTTTTCAGTCATCGACAATGATTCCAGAGCATCCTTCACATCACCATAATGATCGGACCTAAGAAAACAAATTGGTTTAATTTTTTACAGATAATATAAATTCACTATCATTGCCAAACTAGTATAACAAACTTTAGTTCGTCTTCTAGGTTTATGCAAGAATCCATCATTTCGTCATCGATAGTCTTACTCTGCAATATTTTTTTTTAATTTATTTTTGATTGAATCCATTTCATTTTGCATTTTCTCAAGCTTCACGATTAAATCAACTGTATAACCCTTCAAGAGCATAATATACTTGCGCACAATCTCTTTTCCCTTTAGCTCTATAGCAGCTTCCCAGTGCGACACATCATTGCAAAAATTAGACATATCATTGTAAATCTTATGGTAAATCTTATCCAAAGTCTTATTTCTAGGATATTTACGGCTTCGATTAAGTGCTGAACGATACCAATTTTGTATTTTTCTGGCCTTTACATCAGAATCAGGAGAATCTATAATTTTTTGAAACCAAGCTTGAATTTCTGCGGCTGATTCTGAGTTATCTTCAGAGACTTCATTCTTTTTATCAGCCTTAACTTCATTACAAATAAAAGAAGTGTCCGCTGCAGCCTTTCCTTCAATAGCTACTGGAGATGCGATTTTCCAAAGGGAAGACGCGAATTCTTCACTAGAATTATATTTGAGTACCTTAGCTCCATGCTTTTCTAGACCAGCGAATCTAGATATGC